AATAGAAGAATTTACACCTTTTTTCTTGCGAAGCATAAAAACCTCCTTGTTGATCAGCAATCCATGAAGTTCATCTAATGTTGTCGTCGAAAGACGGAGCATGATTAAGTCCATGAAATACTCATACTCATCAGGCAGTCCATTGAGAGTAACAGCAATCAAATCATGATCACTGACAGGAGCTTCAGCAGTTATTAACGAATCAGCAAGGCCTTTAATTTTCTGCAAATAATCAGAGATAGAGAGATTGCCTTTGTGCACAGAGTGAAGATGAGAATAAAGTTGATGAATGTGAATGGCAGAGACTCCACCAAATCGATGCTCAAGATTTAACCATAGATCTCGAGCCGATGTGACACCAACTGTGAATGGAACTATACCCTCAGAAAGCTAGAATTCAACCAAATCAAGATATTTTGATCTTTTTCATACCAAATCTCGAAAGTAGGATTTGGAATATTGTGACCAAATGCATCAAGAACATAAGATGGCGGGCAAACTTCAGAGCCATTAACGATGCCGGTCAGTTTGTATCGTCGAAAAATCGTAGCAAATAGAGCTTTCCAGACGAGGTAATTATCACGCTTGAGCTTTGTAGGAACCATGCAGCTAATATTAACAGTTATGGAAGAAATTGACGAGATCGAAGAAGAATTAGAAGAATTAGGGTTCATTGGTGCAAAATTGGGGAAAGAATTTGCAGGATGGGAAGGAACAAATTCAGGCTGTCCAGGAGAGGAAGTTGAAGACGCCATGGCCGAAGATCAAAGAATGAAGAAGATCAAGAGACGGTGGCGGTGGCGGAGGCGGTGGCTATGACCGAAGAACAAAAATCGAAGGATCGAGAGGCGGTGAAGCAGAAAGGCGGTGATACCATATAAGAAAATAAGATCTTTTATTATTTCTTTCTTAATGAGAAAGGAATACAACTCAGTTTATATACATTTGTCTAATTAGGTTTAGTAACTAATTATACTTAATTTAATCTCTTACCACAGAGATTAGTTACAAGACTGTTATAACCAAAAAATACAGTTGTAAAAGCTATACTATGTGGTATCCCTTTAATATTTCTCCAAACAAGCTTCATCCGAGCCAAATGTGGCTAGCCGAAATGGAATATAATAGATGACATCACTATGCAGACAATTTGAATGAACAAATTGGTCATAAACTGAGGGAAGCTTCAAAAGTATAACGTCAAACCTCAATTATGAATGTCAAAAGTATAACGTCACTATGCAGATAATTTGAATGAATAAAAGGTCACAAAATGAGGGAAGCTTCAAAAATATAATGTCGAAATGACAGAAGTTTCAGTTATATAAGTAAGATTTCTCCAAATAAGTTGCCAAATCATGGCTAGCCGAAATGGGACCAAATCGAGCCTTATAAATACCATGCATCCAAAGTGAAGAACATCTATAAATGCATCCTAAGAACATTTACTTAGAAGACATATAGTTTCAATCTAAACCAAGTGCTAGAACAAAATAAAACAATCATAATTAGTGTTACTATTCAAATCATTGATTCCATCTTTCTTTAGTAAAAAGATAGATTCTGTTAAATGCCTTCATTATCTCCATCATAACTGAATTACAATCAAATTTCGTATTGTTAGAATTAACATGGTATTAAAGATTTTGTGCAGCCATATTCAGTGTCATTAAGTTTTTTTCAAGTTTGAATTAGCCTTTAATTCACAGATTTTCTGCAAGCCTAGACCTCATGTGACTTGGATCGCACTCCAAGTAATTATGAACCCATATCATGTAAAGAGACACCTTCCTAGATTTCCTACTGTATTTGGATTACACCCATATTAGGGTATACAATCCTTATAAGGACTTGCCATTAAGTACTACGTGAAAGATATTATTTCTGAATCTCAACTCAATACCTAAGTGAGTCAATTATCATTGATATATATAGGATTACAAAGCAATCGTGTAGAAGGATACAAAGACATAATTACAATTAGGTTTGGAAAAGAACTACAAAACCCTAAAGACCTAGGAAACCTTCTCAGACGAGGCTACCACTCTCGTGTCCTTGGTGAAGTCAGATTCCTGGTTGGAAGTGGATCAAAAATCCTTGGTGGACACGGACACTAGTTTATCAGTCCCATGCAAACTAACAGGAGGGCACGAACTGGAAGTTTGGACAGCAGGAAAGAAAACTGAGCTACAGATAGGCCTTTGGTAAGAAGATCAGCCAATTGGTCGACAAATGAGACGTAACCAACAATAAGCGCATTGCAAGTGACTTTTTGACGAACGTAATGATAATCGACCTCAACATGCTGCATGCGTTGTTGATAGACCAGATTAGAAGCGATTGAAAGAGCACTAATATTGTCGCACTAAATACATGGAGGAGCAAGGGAAAATGAAGCTCATGGAACAAAGAACGATACCAAGATAGAGCAGCGGTTGTGTAGGCAAGCTGACGATATTCAGCTTCAGTATTGGAGCGCGAGACACCACGTTGTTTCTTAGAGCTCCAGGAGATGAGATTGTCGCCAAGGAAGATGTAATAACCACTAGTGGACCGACGATCATCAGAATCACCAGCATAATCCGTATCAGCAGAGGCAGTGAGATGAAGAGAACTAGGGCGATGAACAATGCCATGATTTGGAGTAGCTTTAAGATAACGAAGTATGCGTTTGACAGCAACCCAATAGACCGTAGTAGGCTTATGCATAAACTAGCAAACCTGGTTAACAGCAAATGCAATATTAGGACGAGTGAAAAGAATGTACTGCAAGGCCCCTACAACACTACGAAACTCAGTGTTGTCAGACAATGGTTCGCCATCCGACAGACTTAGGCGGCAACCACTAATAGATGGGGTTGAAATAGGCTTGCACTCCAGCATGTTGGTACGTTTGAGAAGATCAGTGACGTACTTGGTTTGTGTAAGATGGAGTCATGTGGTAGTGCGATGTACTTCCATCCCTAAGAAATAATAGAGAGGGCCAAGATCCTTCATGGAAAGTAGAATGCCAAGCTGATAAATTAAACGGAAGATATAAGCCAAGCTATTTCCAGTAATAAGAATGTCATCCACATATATTAGCAAGTAAATAATAACGGAGCCATCAAAGAAAGTAAATAAGGAAGACTCGGCATGAGAGGAGGCAAAACCCAAATTTTCCAAAAGTTGAGAAAAACATTGGAACCATGCACGAGGAGCTTGTTTAAGACCATATAAGGACCGTTGTAGTTTGCAGACATGTGAGGGGCGTTGAGGATCAACGAATCTGGATGGCTGCCACATATAGACCTCTTCCGTCAAAGAACCATAGAGAAAGGCATTTTGAACATCAAGTTGACAAAGAGGCCAGTTGTAATGAATAGCAATGGGAGAGTTAATCAAATAGTTGCATGATTGACAACGGGATTGAAAGTCTCGCCGTAGTCCAAACCTTCTTGTTGATGAAACCCATTAGCCACTAATCGTGCCTTATAACATTCAATGGAACCATCAGAGCGTCGCTTAATTTTGTAGACCCATTTGTTGGGAAGAATGTTCATAGTGTGGTGAAACAGAACCAAAGTCCAAGTGTCGTTTCGTAGTAATGCAGTGACTTCATCGGTCATTGCTTTGTGCCACTCGGAATGTTTATTTGCCTGACTATAATAGGTAGGCTCAACCCAAGTCATTAGCAAAAGTAGTAACATAAGCATATTTGGGGTTAGGTTTGCAAACACCAAGTTGGCTTCGAGTGATCATGGAATGGGACAAGTTACTTACCTCGGAAGTAGATGAAACTGGTGGTGTGGGTGTAGCTGGTGGTCGAGTTGCATCAGGGGCCGGATTAGGTGAGGTGAAGGGTGGGAATGTGTAGGACGTGGGGTTCGGCGGGTATAAACGTGAAAATGGCATAGGGCAGGAGGCTGGTCAGTAGTAATGGCTGGTATGGACAGGGAAGAGGACTGGGGGATGGCAGGGATGGCAGAAGTAAGAGCAGCAAGAGGTGGGGATGGGCCAATGGTGAAGACATGATCCACAGACGAGGAGATGGACATAAGTGAAGTAACAATGGACTCTTTATAGGGAAAACTGTTCTCATCAAAGACAACATGGCGAAAAAGAAAGACACGTCCGATAGAGGGATCCAAACAGCGATAACCATGATGATTTAAAGAATATCCCAAGAAAACATAACGTTTTGAACGAAATTGTAATTTATTAGTATTATACGGAGGCAATAAAGGAAAACAGGCACAACCAAAAACTTTGAAAAAGGAATATTGAGGAGGTTTATGAAACAATTTTTCAAATGGAGAAACATGTTGTAAAAGGCGAGTAGGCAAACGATTAATGATGTAGTTAGCGGTGTGAAAAGATTCAGCCCAATAAGAGGTGGATAAACCAGATTGAGCTAAAAGAGTTAGACCCGTTTCAACTAAATGTTGATGTTTTCATTCAGCCAAGCCATTTTGTTCAGGATTGTGGGGGCATGTAAGACGATGGAAAATGCCACGTTCATTCAAAAAATGCCGAAAATTATGATTAACAAATTCACCGCCACCATGTGTTTGAAAAGCCTTAATTTTAACACTAAACATATTTTCAACCAAGTTCTTAAAAGTAACAAAGGTGGAGAAAACATCAGATTTTAAACAGAAAGGGTAAGGCTAAGTATAACGAGAGAAATCATCCACAAAAATCACATAATACTTAAAGCCAAAGACCGATAAATAAGTTGAAGACCAGATATCAGAATGAATCAATTCTAAAGGAGAATAAGACATAGATAGAGATAAAGACAATGGTAATTTATGACTTTTACCCAAGGGACAAAATTGACAAAACCTACTAGAAAATGAGCCTTTAAGGGGCAACTTATTTGCAAAAACTAACTGTTGTAAAATAGAAAAAGAAGATGACCTACCTTAGAATGCCACAAAGCATTTGTTACATGTTCACCTAATAAAGCAAAAACACCATGGGGTGGAGGAAAAGAGGGAGAGGGGTAGAGTTCATTGTTACTCGGGCCTTGTAAAAGGATCCTCCCCGTCCATGAATCCTGCACATGATAAAAACGAGGATGTAAGGTAAAGAAACAATCATTATCACTCATAAAACGATGTAAAGAAATAATGTTAGTGGAAGCATAAGGACAAAAGAGAGTATTAGGTAAATGGAAGGAAGTAGTTTTGGTACGAAGAAATGAATCACCAATTTGGAGATTTGCAAACCTAGACCACCATGCACACCATGAATTTGATCAGTTCCATAATACTCACAAGGATTGTGAAGTTGTCCCGCATCATTGGTGATGTGAGAATTGGTGCCAGAGTCGAAGAGCCATTGTTGCACAATCGAGGTAGTAGAAGCAGTGGGCAATGCACGGGACAGAGGAGTAGCTGCATAAGCATGAAGACGAGATGAAGGAACCCTTCATTCATATGACATGTTGAGACGATTAAAACAATCAATAGCCGAGTGACCATAACGTTGACAGATCTGACACTGAATACGTACAGGCGAGGAGAAGGCCGGTGCATGAGAAAAACCACTAGAAGCAGAAGCAGGGCTAAAGATGCCATTGGAAGAAGAAAGTGGGCCACAGGAAGAGGTGATTGGTGAGGAAGAATCATCAGTGTAGGTACGGGATGAGCCATTACCACGAGCGTAGCCACCACCGCAACCACCCCGAAATGATCCACCACGGCCATCACGCACAGCAGCAAACGCAGAATTGTTGACATCGGAAGGAAGAGAGAAAGCATGGTGACGTTGTTTAGTGCTAAGGAGTAAAACTTCTAGAGCATTGTAAGTGATGGGAGTATCACGAGCTTGTGCAGAAGCAACAGTAGTCTCATATTGAGGACCAACCTTGCTCATAATAATGGCAACTAAATCTAACTCAGAAACTGAGGCTTCTGAGAGAGCAAGATTATCGGCAAGAACGTTAACCTTGTCGAGATAGTCAGCAATAGAAAGATCACCATGGGAGGTATTCATCAATTCAGTCTGTATCTGAATAATACGGTTCTGTGAGGTAGAGGCATATCGTTCTTGAAGAGACGACCAAGCAGAGGCCGAATCAATCTTGTTGACAATAGTAGCAAGAACCTTGGGAGTAAAAGAACTAGTAATCCAGGAGAGAATCATCTGATCAGTTTGTATCCATTCACTGTACAATGGATTGACTTTGTCTGAAAATTTGTTGTTGTCGTCAAGAAGGAAAGCAGACAGGCATTGATTGTCACCGATAACAAAGGAGAAGAGGTTGTGGCTCCGCAACAAGGGGAGGAACTGAGCATGCCAGAGGGGATAGTTGTTGCGATCTAGTTTGATGGTGAGAAAGTTTGTAACAGAGGGAGCAACAACAACAAAAGAGGAAGAGGAGGACGCCATAACTATAAAGAATACGAAAAAATAAAAAAAAATTAAACTGTGAACCGTTGTCGTGAGACGCTGGCTCTTGATACCATGAAAGATATTATTTCTGAATCTCAACTCAATACCTGAGTGAGTCAATTATCATTGATATATATAGGATTACAAAGCAATTGTGTAGAAGGATACAAAGACATAATTACAATCAGGTTTGGAAAAGAACTACAAAACCCTAAAGACCTAGGAAACCTTCTCAGACTGAGGCTGCCGCTCCCGTATCCTTGGTGAAGTCAGATTCCTGGTTGGAAGTGGATCGAAGATCCTTGGTGGACACGGACACTGGTTTATCACTACGGTCTAGTTGTATTCTTCTTCACTTGTAAGTGAGAGGTCTTAGGTTCGATTCTTGTCAAATGCGAGTTTGAACCACATTATTGCTAGCCTATTATGAGGCTAAGCCCACCCCTCCATTTTAGTGTAGATAATATTGTTTGTGCAACAAAAAATAAAAAGGAACCTCCTATAGTGACTCTTCATTCTTTGTTATAAGTACACCCAATCATCTACCATTGAAGGTACACCATCATTCAAGCTCTAAGCCTACTAGTCTTAAGTTTATACTAAAACACAACTAACCATACTGGTGCCATCTTAACTATTTGAAAGTTGTATGTATTCTCTTGCATGTGATTGTAGAGTCACAAACTTAGACTTAACCAAGTTGGCTGTTGTAGTACGGTCCCTTCTATGAACCCAAGTTTGAGTCACTATCCATGTCGTTTAGATATATTAATTAGAACATGGTTAGAAAAACGAGAACAATTTTAGAGGCAAGGCATTTTCCCGCAAACAAGAAAGCAAGACAATAATTAAATTCACTCAAATCCAATAAGGGGATTTTATTACCGAACAAAAAGTCCAATGAGGGGATTCCCAATAATTTCCTTCTTTTGCCATGAAATACAGAAATACTTACCTGACTGTATTTTATATACTAAGTCCTTTAGCAATACTGTCTAGTAATTTTTTTTTCTTTTTTAAATAAGAGGTTTTAAGTCTGACTGTTTGTAGAGAGTGTAAGTTTCTTATTTATCTTTGTAAGTAATATTCATTAAAGAATTAATGAAATTTCACACGTATATGTCTCCCTCGGCAAAATTAAGTTTCTGGATCCGCCATGTTAATCGCAAGAGTAGTAATATCGTTTATAAGATTAACAATTTGAGATTTTGTGCTTCATGGTTTGGCATGATGTCCCTCATGTTGTGCTCTTGCTACTGTTGCCTAGTTATGACCTTGGCTTTCTTCCAATCTTCTTGGTTAGACTTTGCATTTTGGTTGCTTATCATACCATTGTCTCGGTGTTTCCATTTTTGCTGCATTTTGCATCAAGTAAATTCATACCTTAATTAGTAAGGGTGAATGAGACCTCTCGTCGTAAATGGATGGTCTCTTCACCTACATCCTGCCACTCTAGGGTGGAGAATCTGTTTGCCGCTCTTCTTTTTGCAACCGCAAGTGAGCGGTCGTGGCGTTGGTGACAAGAGACGTAGCACTTGTGTCTGTTTTGGGTGATGAAGATTGAAGCATCACAATTCATTGCCAAGACAATAACTTTTCCTGACTTTTCGTCCTTAAACCTTGTTTTGTAGGGGAATTATCAACTTAATGAAAGCAGAGATGAAGTAGTTGAAGTTGCAAGCGACTTGAGGAATGAAAGCTTGACGAGGGAACAAAATTTAAGCAAAAAGGAGGTTAAGAATGGAAATCAAAAGCCCGAATGGCTTGATTCATTTATAAAAATAATCTTTTTCGATGCCTGTCCAGATCATCCTGTAGACAAGAATGAAAAGAACAGATACTTGAATGAAAGGAACAGATACTGTGTTGATTGTAACACAGCAGCCTGCCAATACTGCGTTGATTCTGGTGATCATCGACAACACCGAACATTGCAAATTTACCACTATATCTATCAGGGTGCTGTCCCACTTGATGCCATGAAAAAGCATATGGATTGTTCCCAAATTCAGGTACATTAATTATTCATGTGTTTTCCTTCTTTACTAAATTCTTTAATGTGTTTTCCTTCTTCATCTGTTTCTTCTTCTTTTTTCGTCGGTTTTTCAGCCATATAGATCCAACAAGAAATTGGTTCTACCTCAGACTCCACTTCCCCGCTTTGGATCAAAAAATGACTCTGCCAATGATGAAGGGTGCTGCTGAGATTTGTAAAAGAACATTACGTGAACCAGATCGTCATCGCTATTGCTGTATTTCTTGCAAGGAAAGTCTCTGACTGTAGTATGATTGCCGTGTGTGTGTGTGTGTGTGTGTGTGTACTGCTTTCATTTTACCTTCAATTGAATTCGTCTAAAGTTACTGCGTAAAACTTCAGGTCAAAGCGTTTTCAAGAAAGGTCAGTGCTTCAGTTCCTCCATTTCTTTCCGTCCAGCCTTCTAAGCAGCGCAAAAGAGTTCCGAAACCTGAAAGAAGTTTATCCAAAAGAAAGGGAAAACCATGCAGAGCCCCCTTTTTCTAAAGCCTAGCCTTAGGTCAGTTCACATGCTTGATGCTTAAAAATGAAAGTACTCAGTTTTCAGTCATTCAAGTAATTAAACACTAAAACTTTCTTAGTCAAGCCTGCTTCTTGTTTTTCAGGCCTTTCTTCACTCTCTCGTATCAAGTCAGGATGCAAGGTTTCTCGAAGAACTTCAAGCATGCCATCTAAACATCATTCTGCATTTTTATCATATTGCAGCAGTCACTGAACTACCCGACTGCGTGTGTGAATAGTGAGAGAGACTGAGACAGAGACAGAGAGATGAGCATGACTCCGAGGATTTTCGTTATTAGCTTACCCTTAAGTGTCTGAAAGAATGAATTTCGGCATGACATTTACAGTTACTATTATGATATTATCGAAGGACCAAGAATATTCGCAAATCTTTATGCATTGTCATTCCTAGGCTGCTGACTATCAGCACATATCATTTGCATCAGTTTGCATTAGTACCCGAACCCGAACCCCAGTCCTTATTCAGTCTCTGCAGCAAATGGAAAAAGCATCAGAGCAGTCGAACCTGAGACAGGGTTCAATTCTAGGAGGCACCAGTGAAACACAACATGCAGAGCATACAAACACCGGTGAAACACAACTTGCAGAAGGGTTCTTCAGAGGTCTTGACGGCCTCTTCAATGGTGTAAAGAGGGACAACCATGCTTCTATTTTCATGCACAAGAAGAGTGCTCCAAATCGACGTCCTCTTGAAGGAAGAGTCGAATGTTATCGCGAAACGGTCATTCTTTGTTTCTTTATTTCTTTCCCTCTCTCCCATCGCCCTCCTTTATCCTTCCTTTCTGTCTTATACTTTTCTCATATCTCAAGCGCAAAACGTAAAAACGGAATGGTTATCAACATGTCTTCAATCTCTTTGAAGAGCACCTTTTGCAGATGAAAGTTGTGGATGATGCACATATACGAATGAGCCTGAATGTTTTGAACACGAGGGGCCAAAGTGTGTAAGTTTTTGAAAAACCGAATTCTAAGAGATGTACTTGGTTATTGTCGTCAAATTGATTGATATGTATGTTGTGTTATTAAGGTTTACTTTCTAAATTTTCACAGTTGTTGATCACTGGTGGAATTTCTGTTGTGCTGCCACAGGTGGAGCTAAAACTGTACGAAGTCTTTGAATCTGATGCACTGGAGCAGATTATATTAAAAGTGTTCGAATCGCGGATTACTGTACGAAGTCTTTGAATCTGATGCACTGGAGCAGAGTTTCCAACGGGGACTGCCTGAATGTTTCTGACAAATTGAATTCTAACAGAAGATGTTACTCGGTTAATTTCACCAATTAATTGTCCTGTCTTTTGAATTTCATGTTTTTGCCTTCAATCGTTCTTTTAGAATCCGATATGCGGGTGCAAATATAAGGTGGGTGGGAAGATAGGACTAGTGCATGAAATATGAGCACTGTGGTGTCCGATTCTAAACTATGGTCAAATGATTACCAGAGATCTCTAACGCGAGCGAGTCAAATTCCTTCCACACGTGTTTTCTCTTTGTTTTGTTTTTGTCTTAAATTTGGATATTAACAAAAAAAAAAAAAAAAACCCCACCCTTTATATCATGCATAAATTGTTACTAATTCACACGTTATAAAAAATAACAAGTAAAAGACAAAAAGAAGAATCAATTCCTAAAAATCGTACCCTTAATTAGATGGGCCGTCAACAACATTATGTAATTCACGTGTTATAAGAAAGAACAAGTAAAAGATAAAAAGAGAAATTGGCCCTAAAAGTCATACTCATAATTAGACGGGTACTCAACAACAGTATGATCAAGCTGTTCTTAAGTGTTGAAGTTGCCGGAAATGCATCTGGGCCGTTGCATTGCTTCGATCAGAAGCAACAAAAACACTTTGATCCTCCGTTACATTGCTTGGATCAGAAGCAACAACAATATTTTGATCCTCGGCTTCGTTCTTCCCATTGTCTCCAGAAGTCGAAGGCTTGTCTTGCAGAGAGGACAAGAAGAGGCGAACAAGAGTGCCCACAAAGGGAAGAGAGCAGCATACGATTGCAATATGTTTGATATTCATAGCTTATAACTAATTTGGAAAGTATGTGGTGCGTTTGATGTTTGGGCTAAATTTATAGTGGAGAGTGCAGTCAATGGCGGAACTAGAAATTTTTTACCGAGTAGGCTAACTTAAAATTTTAAATCTTTATAAATAAAGAAACTTGATACCGTATTTTTCATAGTGTTAGCTAGCTTAACATGATGTAAGAAAAAAGGATGGTTTGTAAATTGTATTATATAATTTTATATAGTTAAATCTAGAGAATTCGGATTAGTGACTAAATATTTAGTGGGCTATATTCGAAAATCAATTAAAATTACATGTAAAATTTTATTTTTCATCGAAAACTACCTGGGCTACAGCCCAGGCAGCCCTTAACGTGGCTCCGCCAGTAAGTGCAATGAAGACGTGTTAGTTTTAAGTCAA